GGGAGCTGGCATTGAAGATGTACCTGCATTCCAGTCATAGCTGCCTCTTGTTCTTGGTAGCTTTAGAATTATTAATTTGTTCATGTACATTTCAAACACATGATGTATTTATTTCATTTCATCTTTATAAACTCTAAATTTTAGAAGCTCATGACTTGTACTACTAGTCCTTGAGAATTCTTTTTATAGAAGCAAAGTTGTATTATCATTACTTCTCTAATGAATCTCACTAGAAATTGGATAGTTGTTAATTGGCTTACCTAGCGGGTTGGGTTAGGTGCCATCGGGACTAGTTGGATTTTGTATCGTGACATAGAGCCTGACAAGCAGAGGCAGATCTAGAATTTCTAGTACATGGGTGCACTGATAAGTAGGGATTTTGACCGCTTATTTGCTCTCTTTTACTTGCGTTTTAGCTCAAAAAATGCTTAAAGGCATTTCCGAGAACTAATAAAATGTGCTTTCGTGTAGGAATACAAGGAAACGAGCCAAAGAAGTCAAAATCAACTCATAAAGGAGTAAAAATTGACAAGGTCCAAAACAAGGCAAAAAGGCCCACAGTGCGGACCGCACAATACTGTGTGCGGCCGCAGAACAATGAAACATCACTATCAGATGTCCTTCAGAGTATGCGGACCGCACAATTATTGTGCAATCGCAGAAGAGGAGATTCAGAGAGTTAGTTTTTGGGCAGGCTGAAAATATGCGGACCGCACCATAATTGTGCGGTCGCATGATGACAAGTGCGGTCCGCAAAAGAGAAGAATCAGAGAGCCATGTTCTAGTTCAAGTGTACGGACGCACTCAGAATTATGCGGTCCGCACAATCAGACGAAGTGCGGCCGCATCCCACTTTTATGCGACCGCAGAAGGCTAGTTGACCAGTCAAGCTCAAAGTGCGGACCGCACACAGAATTGTGCGACCGCACAACCTCCGCAGGGGCATTTTTGTCAGATATTTTCAGCTTAGTATAAATAGTTATTTAATAAACTAATATATATATTAACTATAATTAAATGAGATAATTTTAATATAAAGACATATCATGTATATTTTGGTTTGGTAAAACTTACGAATAAGTGTTTATTAATTTGGAGAAAGCGTATGACATAGTTCCTAGAGAGGTTCTCAGGAGATGCTTGGAGGCAAAAGGTGTGTCGGTTGCCTACATTAGGGCGATTCAGGACATCTATGATGGAGCTAAGACTCGAATTAGGACACTAGGAGATGACTCAGAGCATTCTCTGATTGTTATGGGGTTACACTAAGGATCTGCGTTCAGTCCGCTCTTATTTTCCTTGGTGATGGACGCACTGACACACCATATCCATGGGGAGGTGCCATGGTGTATGTTATTCAGTGACGTAGTTCTGATTGATGAGACGCGAGCCGGTGTTAACGAGAGGCTGGGGGTTTGGAGATAGGCCCTTGAGTCTAAGGGTTTCAAGCCGAGCATTACTAAGACGGAATACCTGGAGTGCAAGTTTAGTGCCGAGCTGAGGGAAGCGGGCGTGGACGTCCCAAGTAGAGGCAGTTTCAAGTACCTTGGGTCAGTTATCCATGGGGTGGGGAGATCGACGAAGATGTCTCATACCGAATTGGGGTGGGGTGGATGAAGTGGAGATTAGCATCTGGAGCCCTGTGTGACAAGAGAGTGTTACTGGTTCTCAAAGATAAGTTATATAAAGCGGTATTGGATCGGCCATGTTGTATGGGGCTAAGTGTTGGCCAGTTAAGAACTCACATAGCTAGAAGATGAAAGTAGCAGAAATGAGGATGTTGAGGTGTATACAGGCACATATGATGGATAAGATTAGGAATGATGATACTCACGAGAAGGTAGGCGTGACTGACATTGATGACAAGATGCTGGAAATGAGCCTCAGATGGTTCAGGCACTTATAAAGGAGAAGCCCAGATGCGCAGATAAGGAGGTGTGAGCAGCTGGCTTTGGAAGGCCCAAGAAGAAGTAGAGGGCGGCCTAAGAAGTATTGGAGAGAGGTGATCAGGTAGGACATGGCGTGGCTTCAAATTTCCGAGGAAATGACCCTTGATAGAAAGCTGTGAAGGTCGAGTATTAGGGTTGTAGGTTAGGAGGTAGTTGAGTCTATTTCTACTTCGTACTAATGTGAGGCTAGTCTGATAGGATTTTTGTCTTAGTCTATTAGTGGTTAATGTGTTATCACTACTCTTTTGTTTTTTTCATAGTGCCGGGCCTATTTACTAGCTATTGCTTTTGCTTTTCATCTAGTTTCTTGTCTTTATGACGCTATTATTATTCCTATGGTATCTGTTGTTGGTTCTAATAAATTGTCTCTTTCGTCTTCTTGAGCCAAAGGTCTTTCGGAAACAACTTATCTACTCTTTCGCGGTAGGGGTAAGGTCTGCGTATATACTACCTTTCCCAGAACCCACTAGTGAAATTTTACTGAGTTGTAATTGTTGTAAAAACGTACGAGTAAACTTTTATCCGTTCCAACCCTTGCTCAATGTTTTCTTATCTTTAACCAGCCTTCTTTATTTCTTTTTTTTTTTTTCCTTTCCTTTTTTGGGTTCGGAGGGGGAACTTCTAGTGGGACCTTCGGTGAAAATTCCAAGTCAAACACCCTAGTGGTCCTCAAAATGGAACGTAGTCTACATTCTCTTCTTCATTAATTAATAATTAATAAGAACCCAAATCTTCTCAATGATATGAAAAGGAATATCGTCAAGATTCATCACTATAATTTACGTTCGAAAATGACCCTATTTGCAGTAATCAATCATTTGGCCTCACCAGCATTAGCTTTATTACTGTTATTTATATAGGGAGCTAGCAGAAAGCTAGCTCATTTTGGTATCATTCTTTGTTGTCGTTTTCTTTCCCTTTTCAAAATTTAATCATTTAAGCTCCCACTAGGTTAATAAATCAAGAACAAAAAGAATTAATAAAACTTAACATCTAGTTTTTAGAATCTAGAGATATGCTAAAATAATTAGAGACAAAGATGTAGTTTCCAATAAGAGAAGTTTATTTTTAAGAAAATGCCAAGTTTGTGTTATTTAATAACAGGAATAATTCCTCTTTTGGGGTGGGGGAATCAATAATGTTAAATAATTAATATGGTATGTGTGCGTCTGACGTCAAAACAACGATTGCTTATTAGGAGACAAGATGCAAAGTTTGGAGTAATTAAGTTATTGAATCATTTTATATCTATTAGCAGTTGGTTCACTGAAAAAACAAAAGAGCACATAATTTAATCTTTGTTAATTTATCGAATAAATCATACAGAAAGAATAGGACTCTCTAGATACTTTCAAAATGTTATATATTTCAAAAAATGTTTTCATAACTAACCAAGGTTTGATACTTTCAAAAAATTATATATTTCTCTCCTATTAATTTTTCGAATGAGAGGAGCTAGAGGTTGATTAGTTTGCATTTTATTTTTTATATTATGACGTAAGTATTTTATGAACCAACATATAAGATGCGTGCAATAAATTCTCTGTCCTATATAGATTGTAGATCAACATATAGTACTAGCTGTTTTTAATATCTTAGGTAATTATGAAAATTTCAGAAACTACGTGACAATAGAAACTCAAAAAATAAACTTCAATAAATCTCTTTAACTGGATAGAAACAATAAGAAGAAAAAAAAAAAGGCATCGCCACTACTCTTCCCCTCCCAGAAGAAAACCTAAAATAAAGTGCATTTATCACGAGCTAAATTTTTTTCCAACTATATATAAAAAAGTACGAATTTTATAAAACTCATGAATGGTATAACATTGACATGTAACTGACTGGAATTATTAAAACATTTTCAAGACTTTTTAGAGCATGAAAAATAAATATTGGGTCATAGGTTGACAGGTTCTGATAAACCAGTTGAAGTTTCTTTGATTGCAAAATGTTGCAAGCAGGGGCGGATTTAGAATTATTTATATGGGTTCATTTGAATTCATAAGTATTAGCCTAGACTTAAATTTATCTGTATAAGATTCACAAAAAATGCTTAAAAATTTATAACTACGAACCCAAAATTCGAACAAATTATGGATTCAATAATAGAAATCTGAATTTTGAATCTATAAAATTAAAATCTTAAATTCGTCTCTGCCAAACTAATGATGCCTCAAGTTGCATCAGCCACCAAACTCATAAGGCCAGAAGACATTGAAGTCGATCCACCTTTTTAATTATTGTTAATCGCTTGAGATCTGTTTGGTGCTAAATCTAAGGACCATACAACTCACGTAAACCCATGCATTTAAGGGCAAGTCCCAGACTTATTGATATGATCTTTTGTTTTTCTAATAATGAATTACAGCTAATTTTGTTGACTGGATTTTCCACATAATTAATACTCCTAAGAGAATTTATTGAACAGCAGTGAGTAGAATGTCGCTGGAATTCTGAATCACCAATTTAAATTTTTCCATAAACAAGTTCCTCCATTATTAAAAAAATATTTTTAATTTTGCAAAAATTTAGTAAACTCATCATGAAAATATGCTAGTTGCAATTCTTTAATATATATTTAACTGTTTTTTTTAATAAATTAGTGATAGTGTTTTGTCATACATTTATGATCACAAAAGCCAAAATAGGAATGTGCATTTTGTGTAAGAACAATGGAATTATAAGGGGATTTTGTTTGTATTAGATCGTAAGACGCTCCAAGTTGATCCTTGCCGGCCAATGTATTTCTTAAAAAATAAGATTTAATAATATTTTTAATTTGCTTATAAGGATAGTTATAGTAAAAGGAAGAATTAAGGATGACTTAATAATTAACTTCATGGAGATGTGGGAAAATATATGTATTTTTGGTTTTGAAGCACATCTCCTTGTCCCCTTTAACAAACATTTCATACTAATTAATACAAACTCCTTAATATTACCGTAGCTTAGTGTCACGATTAGAGAGCAGTGTGCAGTCAATCTAGAGTCAAGTAGGGAAACTTGACAAAGGACAAAGCCCAAGAGTTATGGGAGGGGTTGCTGGCGATGGAGACTGGGAAGAGTAGTGGGGACACGAATATGGTGTGTGCCATGTTAGCGAACTACATTAGGGAAGCTGCGAGAAAGGTTTTAGGGGTTACAAAGGGATACGCTGGGAGACATATAGGGGACTGGTGGTGGAATGCGGAGGTCCAAGGTAAAGTTAAAGTCAAGAAAGCGACTTATTTGAAACTAGTGGAGAGCACAAACGAGGAGGAAAAGAGGACGAATCGGGAATGTTGTAAGAAGGCAAAGAAAGAGACGAAGTTAGCGGTTACGACGGCTAAGACTGCTGCTTTAGGACGCATGTATGCGGAACTTGGGAGCAAAGGCAGGGACAAAAAGTTGTACAGCTTAACCAAAGTGAGGGGGAGGAAGGCTCATGACTTGGACCAAGTGAAGTACATCAAAGGCGAGGACGGCAGAGTATTGATGGAAGACACTCATATTAGACGAAGATGCCAGACATACTTCCATAGACTGTTGAACGAGGAGGGGGACAGAAGCATTGTGCTAGGTGAGTTGGAGCACTCCAAGAGTCTGCATGATTTTGGCTATTGTAGGAGTATTAAGGTCGAAGAGGTTATGGGAGCGATGCGTAAGATGAGCAGGGGAAGAGCGACGAGGCTAGACGAGATCCCGGTAGAATTCTAGAAGAGTGCGAGCCGCGCAAGCGTGGAGTGGCTTACTGGGTTGTTTAATGTTAGCTTTAAGACGAAGAAGATGCCGAAAAATGGAGGTGGAGTACGATAATTTCCTTGTACAAGAACAAGGGTAATATCCAAAACTACAATAACTATAGGGGTATCAAGCTGTTGAGTCATACTTTAAAAATTTAGGAGAAGGTGGTGGAAGTCAGGGTGAGGAAGAGTGTGTCTATTTCCGAGAATCAGTTTGGATTCATGCCGGGGCTATCAACTACGGAAGCCATTCATCTGGTGAGGAGATTGGTAGAGTAGTATTAGGAGAGAAATGAGGACCTACACATGGTGTTAATAGACCTAGAAAAGGCGTACGATAAAGTCCCGAGGGAGGTTTTGTGGAGATGTTTGGAGGTTAGCAGCATTTCGGTAGCATACACTAGGGTAATTAAGGACATGTACAATGGTGCTAAGACTCGGGTGAGGACAGTGGGAGGTAACTCAGATCACTTTTCGTTAGTGATGAGGTTGCACCGGGGATCGGCTCTTAGCCCGTTCTTATTTGCTCTGGTGATGGATGTGCTGACGCTATATATTCAAGGGGAGGTGCCTTGGTGCATGTTATTTGCGATGACATAGTGCTGATCGATGAGACAAGAAGCGGGGTTAACATGAGGCTGGAGGTCTGGGGGTAGAACCTAGAGTCTAAAGGTTTCAAGTTGAGCAGGACCAAAACAGAATACTTGGAGTGTAAGTTTAGTGACGAGACTCATGAAGCGGACATGGATGTGAAGCTTGATACCCAAGCCATCCTGATGAGGGGTAGTTTCAAGTATCTGGAGTTTATAATCAAAGGTAAGGGGGAGATTGACAAGTGGGGATTTTGACTATTTATTAGCAGTTTTTAGCTTTCGTTTTAGTCCAAAAGTGTTTAACTGTGTTCCCGAAAACTAATGAAATATGCTTAATTGCAGAAGTATTGGAAAATGAGCCTTCAAGATGAAATCCAACTCAAGAAGGATTGATGTGAACTCAAGGACAAAAACACGCAGAAGCTTAAAGTGCGGACCGCAGAATATCATCTGCCGCCGCAGATTATGCAGAAGAGCCTATCAGAGATCTGTGAAAAGTGCGACTGCAGAAGCTAGGAGAGAGCAAAAGTTTAGAGAACATGCATATCAAATTCAACGGAAGTGCAGACCGCACAATTATTGTGCGGCCGCAGAAGATCAGCTACCCGGGCGTAGTTACATTTGTGCGATCTGCAGAAGAGCCATGTGCGGCCTCACTCAGAAATTTGCGGACCGCAAAAAGAGAGAGATCCAGAATTGTGCGGACGTAAGATTCCAATCCTGTCAGGCTAAAGCAAAGTGCAGACCGCACATGGAATTGTGCGACCGCAGAACCTCCGAAAGGGTATTTTTGTCCGAAAATTCCAGCTTTGTATAAATAGAAGAGTTTCAATTTTTTAGGTCAAGTTTTTGACATCAACAGCCACAATAGACGTTTTTCTTTACTCTCTTTAGTATTTTTGCAATTTTAAGCTTTTTGAACATGGATTTCGTTATTTTAATTATCAATATGGGTATGATTATCATTTCTTCTTCTATTTCTTCTATTATAAATATGAGTAGCTAGATTCTCACTAGGGTTGTGACCCAACCCTAGAGTATAAACTTAATGGGTGTTTGATTTATTACTTGTTTATGGTTGGGTGTTTATTATTTGGCCTTGTTCTTGCTTCTAATTGTAGAATTAATGGTTGCAAACATAAGTTCATGCCTATTTGACTTGGTCTCTACTTGAGAAAGAGAGACTTACTCTAGGAAAACTTGGTTAACAAGGAATTGGGGTAAATCAAGAGATTGATGGACCCAATTAAAGGGTTGAATCTAGAGATAGTACAACCCGACTTGAGCTTTTTACCAACCGTTTTGTTCAATACCCATTTGGAGTTGAGAAAGCCAAATTGGGCAAAATCACTCTTTGACCGAGAGGTATTGAGTGGGTACTCGAGTGTTGATAGTTATAATACACCCTGACCAATAAATCAAGCTTTAAAGTTTACAACCCGTTAGGCAAACACCTAGGTGAAGGTCATAACCCTAGGCCTTTTACATCATTTGAAAAACAACAACACAAATAATTTCTCATTTTCAATTATTCATCTTGCAATCTTAGTTTAAATTAGACTTAGAAATAACCAAAGTTTGTGGAAGTGCAATTTGAGATAATTCAATCTCATACACTAAAATATATACTCCTAAATCCCATTCATAGCTCCCTGTGGAATTCGACCCCGACTCTCTATTGGGTATTACTATTGTATCGATTGTTTCATAACATCAAATATAGATGCGACTTGGACGAGATCAGATATTGATGATGAGATCTCCCACCGTATCAGAGCGGGGTGGACGAAATAGAGGCTCACATCCGGTGTTTTGTGTGATAAGAAGGTGCCACCAAGACTTAAGGGTAAGTTCTACAGAGTGGTAGTTAGACTTACTGTGTTGTATGTGGCTGAATGTTAGCCAGTCAATAACTCCCATGTCCAGAGGATGAAAGTAGCAGAAATGAGGATGCTGATATGGATGTATGGGCATACCAGGCGAGACTAGATTAAGATTGAATTTATTCGGGACAAAGTAGGAGTGGCCCGTGGAGGACAAGATGCGAGAGTTGTGGCTGAAATGGTTCGGGCACGTGTAGAGAAAGAGAATGGATGCTCCTATTAGGAAGTGTGAGAGGTTGGCCGTGGAGGGGCTGAGAAAGGGTAGAGGAAGGCCGAAGAAGTATTTGGGAGAAGTGATTAGGCAGGATATGGCGCTACTTCAGCTCACTGAGGATATGACCGAGGATAGAAGGGTGTCGAGGTCGAAGAGTAGGGTAGTTGGCTAGCAGGTAGTTGAGAATTCCCCGTTCTTTTTTAGTAGTATTAGTAGCTCCTTATTTTTTCGTATTATTTGACCCCTAGTATTCCTTATTGTCTCGTTCGCTCTGTGTACCGTATTTCCAGTTTGTTACTATTTGATGCTACTTTTTCTTTTACTTGTTATTTTGTTGTCGTTGTTGTTGTTGTTGTTGTTATTGTTGTTACTGTAGTTGTCTTCTTTCCCCTTTTCCTTATCGTCCTTTGTCACCCTATTATTTCTTTCTTCTTCCTGTCTCTCTGAGTATGCCCAACTCTAGTCCTAAAAAGGATAAGCGATCGCTGCAAATATAATCTGGTCTAAAAGTCCGGAGTCGAATCCCACAGAGAACTAAGGTTTCGCTGTAATTGTTCAATATCGCAAAGAAGACAAGTTTGAACAATTTCTAAATTATAATATTAAGATTTTTATATCTAACTAATTAACCAACAAATACTATAAAACGATAAAATTATCAACTAACGAGACAGAGGTTTGGATACTAATTTAAGGAGGTCTAGAGTTATGATTTCCCCAATTGTTGAATTCATTAGTTGTATGTTTCTTATAGCTTTGACTTAGTTGCTTCTATCAATCATGAACTCTCCAGATATCATAAATCTCTCTCAAGCAATTATGATAATTTACTAGACGCACTCTCTCAAGCTACGCTAGCTAGATTCACATTACAGTTCACTTAGATCACACCGGAGGTATCGTTATCTCTAATCCAACCTCTAAACCCTCGGTTATGACTCTCGCCTATACTCCGGGAGTGATGTTGTTCAAACAACTACCTAAATATGCAATCTCTCTCAAGAAGATACATAATAAATAGGAACGGCTAATTGAGGATCCTTTCAATTAACCAAAATCAAAACGTAGTTGAACAAATAGAGTTAACAACTAACTCAAAACTATATTAATATAACAACCAATTCATCCCCAAAAGGTTCCATCAAAACCCTAGATAACAAATTAGCTATTCATAGTAGCATGTAAAACTACAATATTAAAAATCATAACCAACAATGAAAAATAGGAAGAGGAAGGAAAAACTCGTTGAAGAATTCCGTGCCTTGCTCCTATTGTTCTTGACTCCTTAGGTCGAATCTCCGGTCTCCTTAGCCTCCTTAGGTCTAAATTATGTCAAAAGTATGTCCAACTCCCTTAAAATACCGTTTTTCCATGTATATATACAAAGTAGGGTCGAGCCCAAACAATTATACCTTCTCCTACGCGAAAAAGGACAATATTTCACGTCTGGGCTGCCGCGGTGAACCGCGGTATATACTGCCTCAGCCCCGCAGTCACGGTTTCGACCGCATTGTTTACCCTGTTCCATTTAGAATTTGGAAAAACGTAAAACATGAATGTTGTAGCCCTTTGAGTTAGCTTTCCAACCATATATTTTTGATCCAGAATGGAGTTTTGAGCAAAATGTTATGTCTATTTTACTAGACAGTGCGCAATATGCCTCCTCGAGTCTTCGTTCGTACTTAATTATCAAACTTGACCCCCGAACCCGATCCCGGCTTAATTCCTTGAGCTCTTACTCAGACTTCAGAGCTCCTAATCACTTAATTTCATTCTATAACATCTATATAGCTCGGAATCACTCCTACAAGGCATAAAACACACCGTAGCGATTAAAGCGCAAACTCAACTAAAGTGCAGTAAATTAGAGTGTAATAATCGACTAAAATATGTAATTATAGCCTATCATAAACACCCCACACTTAAATCATTGCTCGTCCTCGAGCAATCAAACTACACTTTTTATTGACACGACCTTTTTAAACAATTCTCCTAACTCATCACACCAAGAGTATTTAAAATAGACTAAGCACAAAAGCATAACATCTTCACCTCAAGATTTGACTCACAAGTACCACACATTATTCACAACTCACCCACTTACTCTAAGATAGAGGTCACTGACATTACCTTTCCTTCATGAATCAAGTGCCCTCACACAACAAAAGAGAGTAGTTCCACACAATAAAATTTAAGAACACTTAGGAACTCAAGATAGAAAGAATTCACTCACTCTCAGAAATAACATTCATATGCCACAAAGATGCACCGTAGGCTTGCCCGTAGTGTACTTCTCTACTAATCGAGCTCATTCAATCTAGGATCAATTAGGACTTTATTTGGTTGTAATGTAGGCTACGGGACGGGTAGGATACATTTAGATATAAGAGTGACTACACCTCCCTAAGCACTTTAATACATACATTTTAACATTTAAACCCTATACTTTGTCAAACCAAAACTCCACCTTCACATCAATGTATATTACCCCATTCTTCTTTAGGCACACTTACATCAAGAGCCACCACTTATCAAGGAATTTTTTTTCACAACAATACAACTTCTTTTTCCTTTTTTTTTTCTTAATTCATGTGGCTCTTACTTTTTCAAAATAGTGCACCTTTCTCCTTATTTTATTAGTTTCACTCAAAATCCAAACCAACCACCCCACACTTTAACTTTTACACCGCTCAGAACAATTCAAGTGCTCATGAGAGGTTAAAAGGTTCAAATAGATGATTAATTCAAACAAAATGGGTATGGCTTGTAATGTGGTTGCCAAAGAAACAAGATTACAGGCTCAAAGGGGTTAACTACGATACATAACAATTAGGTGGGTAAAATATACATATCTGGCTCAACAAAGAAACGCCTATATCACTTCCAAGACTGAACAAAACTACTATTTCGCTTTGCAAACACACAGGGCAAGTTCTAGGCATCAAATGCAATGCACAGAATATAACAAATTCTTACACACGCATGGCACATAACTCACTCAGGATTGGTTTCATCAAGACACTCTAGTCAAAGCAGTTAAGCAAAGTTAAGATCATAAAATTTAAGGTACTTATACAAGAGTCAAAAACTGAGTCTAAGCGTCACAACCAAAGGACTCACTATTCTCAAGGCATAACAAAGTCAAGAGTATTGCTTCAATTCAAAACACAACACAATGGCTCCTATTCCTAAAAAATTTAACTACACCCGGTTCAAATAAAACCCTTGAAAAAGAACCGCGGCACAAAGAAAAACCAAGGGGTAATTGCTACACTACCTAACAACAGAAAATCTTTTTTCTTTTTAGACTTAAATCCCTCAAGAAAATTGTCTAATAGATCCATCGTCGAGAAAAGTCTAATCTTTTCTATTTTAAAAAAAAAATTATTCAATTAAACTAATACAACTAAAATAGCATAGAAAATCACCCAGATAATCTCCTCACCCCACACTTAAAATTGTGCATTGTCCCCAATGCACACCATAAATAATAAAAGGGTAAAAGAGACTCCCTGGTAGGCCAAAGGCCGAAGCACTACAGCTCATGGGGTACTCAGACTTCTCCCCAGCTTGATCCTTCGTGCGGGTATCTCACACTTAGGTCCAACCATTTGTTTTGTTGTTGCATTCTTCCAATACCTTTGCTTTTCATGCTCCTAGAAAATAAAAAATTGACACTACAAAAATAATACAATTAAAAAAATAAAAATAAAAAATAAATAAAAGAAAGCAATAAAGCTGGGTTGCCTCCCAACAAGCGCTTGATTTAACGTTGCGGCACGACGCGAATCACTTTTTGCCTCCACCTTAAGCTTATGAATTGAACCCCCAATTTGGCATCAAGTTTTCGGCTATGCTCCAGGGGTGGAGGAACAAATCTAATTGGTCCAAGCAACCATTGTACTATTCTACACTTCTTGGCTTTTAGATGAGGTATGTAGTCCTGTCTTTCTGGTAAGAAAAATTCCAGAATATAGACACCTTGTTCCTCATTCCTTGACTTCTCAATCGGCTCGGATGACTCTATTTTCATATCGTCATCCAAGCACAATGTAGAAAAATATTTGGAGTGAGGACCAACGCGCTCACACACATTTTTCTACATTGTGAGCACATTGGTCCTCACTCCAAACATTTTTCTACATTGTGCTTGAACCCCCAATTTGGCATCAAGTTTTCGGCTATGCTCCAGGGGTGTAGGAACAAATCTAATTGGTCCAAGCAACCATTGTACTATTCTACACTTCTTGGCTTTTAGATGAGGTATGTAGTCCTGTCTTTCTGGTAAGAAAAATTCCAGAATATAGGCACTTTGTTCCTCATTCCTTGACTTCTCAATCGGCTCGGATGACTCTATTTTCATATCGTCATCCAAGCACAATGTAGAAAAATGTTTGGAGTAAGGACCAATGCGCTCACACACATGAACTTCAGAACCTTCAGCATCCTCAACATTAATGATACTAGAGTCAACAAAATTTGTATCCTCAATGTCCTTGACTGACTCTAGTCTCACTTCTTCAACATTGACATCTTCAAATTCTAGTTGGCTAGGTTGTTGATGTTCTACTTTGACCTCCCCAACTAATACCTCAAATGCATGCTCTTCTTGGCTACTATAATCAATATTGGATAGTTGAGCATTAAAAGCTCCAACCACTTGACTCAATTGAGCCTCCAACTTACGAATAGTTGCCTCTTGCCTTTCTATGTGCAATTGTTTCTCATTGTTTTGTTCCAGAAGTCACTTTAGCATATCCTTGGTCTCCTTTAAGTCCGCATTCCCAGATTCTTTGTTCCTATTAACTTCATAAGAAAAGGTAGAACCATCATAGTAAGGGGTTGGGGAAAAATAAGAAATATAAGCACAACCATGAAGGTGACCATTTTACCACCACACACATTCCACAAATAAGATTGAGTTGGTGCACATAACTCGCTCTTAGGAACGTTTTGAAAATTTTGCCACGGGTGGTTTCCTTCACAATATGTATGGAGATCAATAGTAGAATTATCTACACCTAAATTCCCATAATTCCAAGATGCCATGTTTCTCAAATCGATAGTATATAAAAAAAATACAAAAAAAAAAACAAAACAAAAGAAAATAAAATAAAAGTTCAAACTCGTAACCTAGCAATATATATAGCTACAACTACACCGTTAGTTCCC